TAGTTCTACTCGCATGGTAGGTTTTCGGAGCTTGGGAGCAGCAGGTACTGCTGGGCGATCATCACCCGAGTCGGAGTCGGAGTCGTCGTTGTCATTATCGGAGGGTGGGAGAGGGGCCTGAGGCGCTTTTTCTTTCTTAACCTTTGTAGCTGCACTGCTGGGCTGGAGACGAACTGGGCCATGGTAGTCGGTATCACCATTAGCAAATAGTCGTCGAGCACCCTCATGAGGCCACTCGGGTGGCGGTGCGATGCCTGTAATGACTGGCCTCTCGGAGGCCATCACAGCTGCTACACGTGAGGTTAAAACCCAAAAGTGCATATTAAAAGGTAAACAAAACTCACCTCGGTGTGCCTTGTCAACTTTGAAGACTTGCATGGTTCCTCCCTTCAACGCATCTATCAGCGTTACAATTTCCTTCTGAGTCAGCACGCCGATGCCCTTGTTCTTCGAGTTTTCATTGTGAGCTTCGCCAGGCAAGAGACACTTATGAGCCGGATAGCCTCTAATACAGAGATTGGCATCAGCAAGGGCGCTTGACATGCCCTTCCAAGGGAAATTTTTATCCCAGGCGCACTTGCCTCCAAGTTGGGCTATTTGTAGTTTAGGTCAAATGAATAAAAGGAGTGTCGACGTTCTAACATACCAACTTGTCTGATAAGTTCGAGCTTGATCCATTTCAAGCCATCATCCCGTCCCTCAGGAGCCTGAGACTGATCACGATCATGGTTCAGGGTTGAATTTGGAGTTGAAGGGTCGTTGCGGGTGCCATCGTTGCGGGTGCCATCATTGAATGCTTCATCCACCGCAGCTAAAGATGTAGTATTACTGTGTGGGCATAAGTCATAGCATAAACAAAATTTAAGTGTACACTCACTACACGTGAGCCTTGAGATGCCCGACGATGGCATCATCGCTTGCGCGACATCGTGTCTCCCAGAACTGTCTCTTTAAGTATACGTCAGGATGTAGAGTACAAAGAGACTTACCCCTGCAGCACCTGGCGTGTTATACGAGTGGCCAAGTGAACCATCTTCATTGACTACTTTCCCGCAGAGCACGATCGCTGCTTCAAAGCCTGACTTCATAGCGGCAGACTCGAGCTGTGATTACAACATGAGGGGATGATGGAACTTCGGGAAAGAAAACGTACAATCTGTATCACCCTTCGATAGTGTTTCTGGAATCCATGTCCACGCTGAGCTATTGTTTGAGGCGATGATCCGAGGAGTGATGCCTCCTCATGCATGAGCAGGATATCTTGGTAAGAGTCAGGATAGGCCTCTTTGAATTTGTCGTAACATTGCGTGCGCACAGTTGCACCTATAAGGGTTATAAACGTCCTGCGCAACAAGATATAAAATAATACTTACTTGGCGTGCCACCTCCAGCCTGGGCTTCTTTGCCAATGCGCACGAGTTCTATCTGCATATGCTCTTTGAAGTAGTTGGCGTATAGGTTCCAATAGTTAGTGCCATTCACGGTGCGTCCACGACTCTTCAAGAATAGGTTGATCAATTGGGAAGTAGGGAGCGTGGTGGATGTAGCGAGCTCAAGAAAGCAGCGCTCTACTGCAGCAAACCCGACATCAAGTGCTGCATTCACCTCTGCAGACCTGCGTCCAGTGACCGTAAGTCCTTCATCATGGGTCACTGGCTCGTGTTCCTCGGGAAAGCGTGCACGAGAGGTAGAAGGATGGCCTCCTAAGTCCATCTGGGAATTGGAACCGCTCAGCAAAGTACCGATAGTATTTGTTGAGGTGGTGCTATCACCATCCTTGAAAGGCATCGGTGGAATGACATTGGTGGTTGGGAGGGCAGGCAGGTGATCATGAGACGATGATGACGGAACTGGCTGAAGGACGAATGGTGAGACTTTGCCAGCAAGATCCTCAGTCAATCCAGAATGGGTTTGGCCTGTAGCATGAGGATCTAGCGAGCATCCACGAGAGGTCAAACCCGATGAACTCGCAGGAAAAGTGTAACTTGGCGGAGGTGCTAGGCGGTCCATATCCTGGGGGACGAAGTGATTTTGCAATCCTCCAGATAAATAAGATTCGGACCCCATCATGCTAAAGGTATCCGAAGAGTTGGGATCCATCCAGGCGTGTGGCTGGTTCATGGAACCAAAAAACACATCCTGGAGCTGTTCAGGAGCGTGTGGGGCAGGAAAGGGTGAGGCATGGCGACTACTACCCACATGGAGCATTGACGATGATGTTTCGCTTGTCGAGATAGCAGCCGGCACCGCATGAGGTAAGTTAGGTGCAGGATCTTGCCCTTCCACAGCGAGGCGTTGATAAGCCTGGCGGCGGGTAGATGCACCTTTGACAAGGCCGGCATCCCGCTCTGTAGCCTTGAGCTTACTCCTGAGTCGCGAAGGAGTCAGCTCAATGGGTGGTGATGGGTTACGACGGCCACCACCAAACTGCTCTTGCATGTAATCGAAGGTATCAGGAAGACCCATGTAACTCGGGTGAGGAGATGATGGGTTATCGGGGATGTTTTGCGTCATGTCTACAGTGTGGTCAATATTGGAAGAAATATATGACAGCACGCGTACTTACTCGTACTATGTGCAGTAGATGCCAATTTTTGCAGACCGTCTATTGGGCGGTTTGCGCAAGAGTATATCAGATGGGAAATCAGAAGGGGCAGAAAAAAACCTACAGCGCCTTCATATTTATGAGGCTGATTTGAGCTGATGCAGACTAAACAAGTTAGAATGGTATGCTAGCACGGAATTAAACAAACGTACAAGATATTTGAATAGGCCCATCTGGCAAGGTAACCAAGAGGGTGCGAGCGAGGCTCTCGGGATGCTCGAGAGGCTAATAAGAGGGTTCAGAACGAAAGGAATGAGGATAACGCTGTACATAATGCTAAATGACTCACGTTGAAATGAAATGCTTGAGCTGGCAACCAAAGTGTAATTCTGCGTGTATATGAAGAAGTGAAAGCAGGAGGCTTACCGGAAGATCGTGAGGGAGGCTCAAGGGAGGCTCAAGAGGCTCAAAAGAAGCGAATACCGCCAACGATCGATCACGACCCGAGTATCCGCGTGTTCAGAAAAAAAAGTACAATTCCGAAAAGATTGCTTGTATAAACATGTCATCTACGTTATTTGAAATCATTAAGATTCAGTCATACCGTATCTGTTACGCTTGCTCACTAACATGTAACTCATCATCATATTCAGAAGTCGATGCAGACTGCTCGACAGAAGTGATGGGCGGGATAAGGTTGGTGTGATTAGAAACTGCTCTGGAAGCTGACCGGAGTAGCGGGCGTGATATGGTGCGAGCAGTGGATGATGGTATTGCCCTAGAAGCTGGCCGGGGTGGTGGGCGTGATATCTCTACAAAAACCTGAGTACGACGAGTAGGGTGTATAGCAGGACGAGCAGCAGGTGCAGGAGGACGAGCAGCAGGTGCATGAGGACGCACAGCAGGTGTGTGAGGACGCGCAGCACGTGCTGGAGGACGAGCAGCAGATGTAGAAAGACGACTAGGAGGTGTAGAGGGACGATTGGAAGGTGTAGAGGGACGAGTGGAAGGTGTAGAAGGGGGAGAGGCAAGACGGCGAGGCCCCCTGAAGTCAATGTCACCATTAGCAAACACACGTCGCGCGCGGGAGTGGTTTGATCGATATGAGGGCGCCTCTGCGATAATGACTGGGTCCCAGGACATTGTAAGGCGTTTGCGAGCAGTATCATTTGTCATGGCTTGTATAGTGAGGGTGCCCATCTTGAGTGCATTGACAAGATTAACCCGATGAGGAAGGGTCAGATCATGTATGCATTTGCTCCGAATGAGTGTAGGTCGAATCTCGCCGGGCATCAAAGTATCATCAGGGTAGTTGACAAGGCGACATCCGAGCTGAGCTAGCTCCTTGGGTAGAGTTTTCCAAGGGAAGTCGTTCGAGGTACGCCCACGCAAGGTGCCACCAACAGATGCTGAAATAAAGTCAGGATTGGTATTAAAAATGGAAGGCAATATGCCTTACCAACAAGGGCCGTTATGCCACCCATGATACAAGGAATGCCATCGAGGCTCTTCCACCCAGCGTCAACTTGGAGACTACTAACTCCTGGGTCCTCCTCTGTCGACACAGCCTTGTCCACAAGCTCAAGCTAGAAGCAATCAGTAATCAGCAGCATCTGAATATTAAACTGACTAAGGACTTACGAGGTGACTGATGGTACAGAAGTGCGTGTCTGTTTGCGTGCCAACATCAACAAAGTGTGAGGATTGAGATATGATTGCAGTCATTCTGCAGCAGGATACAGACAAGGTACGATAGTTGAGACTGTTAATCGATAAGAAGAAGCCATGGAAATTTTCGGAATAATACAGTAGCTTCGAAGTTCAAGGGTACTAGCGCCGAAAAGCAGGCTGGAGGGTTATTATGTAAGCTGAAGTCAGCGCTCAGCCCCATGAGGCTCCATGGAGGCTACTACTAGTAGTGGGAGGCTCCATGGAGGCTACTAGTGGGAGGCTTGTCCGAGCCTCCTGTGGGGTGGACATGACATTGGTGAGCCAATGAGATTGAAAATACATATCGCACTGAATTGAAAACACAAATGTAGAGGGATTGACTGCCAGCCAACTGTCTCAACAGTAGCATCATCGACTGCCGTGGTGCGCCCCATCATGCTAATACAAAATCAAGGCAAGAACATCATGTTTCATGGCTGTATTGCATTTTGACGGGTAAGAGGACAGTATCGCAATATGAACTTAAGACCAACTATGGTCTTAACACACTTTTGACCATTCACATTGCCCGGTCTCTAGTATGGGTCGCAAAGCTAAGTACTTCACATTTGAAGAGAAATCAGCAGCTGCACGGCAACACAAGACATTGTATGCTCGGTCAGAACGGTAAGTATTTTGCAATCATTTATTCTTGTTAATCATATGTTTTACAGAGGTAAACTCGTTCGACAAGCTCAAAACGCTCGTGCCTATGCCAAGCATCATGGTCGACGTGGGCCTCGTATCAGATCTGGGGATCTGCATGCTCTTCAGGCGTCTTCCCTAATCCAATATTCAACCCTCTCCCTTCCCGATTCCTATCTGTTTCACCAATCTCTCACTGGATCTGACTTGATTGATCAATCCGATCTCTTGCAGTGGAACAAAGCCCCTCCTTACGACCTTCCAGCTCCACCTGATTTACCAGAGGAAGACCGTTTCACGCAAAACCTCTGCGACGTGATGCATGGCCGGCACTTGCGCGCAGAAAGGGAATCACATGCTCGTCACGCAGCCATATATAACATGGGTGAAATCGCTGAGCTTCTGAAAGAGATCCGAGAAGCACATCAGCGGTTACTTACAGGTTGGGATGAGCTCAATGCTCGTGTTAGCAGCTTGCAGGCATGCACAAGACACAAGGTCATGGCCGAATGCTATCGCCAATGGGTAGCACGAAGGATATTGAATTATCAGAGGGAGGACAATATGCTAATTACTGGGAAGAATCCTTATACGTAGACCTTGTATTACTGTAACTCGAGAGAGCTGGTAATGCAAGCACCATACTCCGCACATAGCGTCGCAGATTGCCCATGTCCTGCTCATGTAGGCCTGTAACACGGCTGCCACGTATAACAGCGAATATTGCAGCCAATACCCACACGCCACAATCAAAGTCGTTATTCTGAAGACGTTTGGTCTAAATAATACACGATGTCAGACTAGTCAAGAAAGCAAAGCATGAAACTCACATTCAGTGGTCGAGCCACCCACCCTGCAAGATCAATATGAACATGATGGCCGTGTTGACGCACAACTGCAAGGAACCGAGCAATCAGTCTCATTATATCCTTTCATATCATGTGTCAATCAGTCAGGTCAGACAAAAGAACTCTTAAAAAATTAATCTCACTTTGACGTCACTTTGCCAAGGGGTCCTGTCGCCCATGCTGTCAAACAGGTAAAGTTCTTTGGTCGACAACTGGATGACGCACATCACCCAGTGTCCAATCCCTGATGGACGATGAATCGGAAGAACCCATATGTCTTTTTCCCAATAACGAATCCACATTGTATGGCGCCAGATGTTGTCGTCTGGGGCATTGTAACGAATGCGGGGAAGATCGTGAGTGGAGAGTATCGCACACCGTGCAGCGGAGGTGTTCAGTTGAGAGCACCACAGGAGAATGGTGCAGTTGTTAATGCATGTATCATTGAGGCATGCAGTAGGAGAACTGAGTATACCGATTTCTTTTGGATCAAACTCTAGACGAGGGATTCTGTCATGCGAAGGTCGTATTCGCGCGAAAATTTTAGCAGGGTCGAGGACACCTGGCTCTTGCGATGGGACGCAGAAGTCATCCACAAGGAGATTCTATGACACGTCATCGTCAACTCCTAACAATAAAAATAACCGTACCTCAGGAAGGTTTCCAGCAAATCACAGCATTAGCATCGCGCCCATAATTTGTTGAGTCATCGTCATCTAACTCAATTGCCCCCATCTCACCCTCCAGGACATCGGCCAGAGCTGCTTGTTCAGAGTCGACTTGGGGGCAATGGTCAGGATCGACGATAGGGAGTTCATCACAACCTTCAGAATCAGACACTACCAGCATGCTGGCATTAATCCAATGAAGTGCCATGTTTGGTGAGCCTCCCGAGAGGGTGGTCGCAATGGCTACTGCCTTGCTGACTTCATTAGTAAAGCGTACCGAAGAAGCCAAGCAATTTGACCATCGTGTTTGAAGGCAGATAAAATTGGCATGCCGTTGTTGCAATAGAACTGCGAATGGTTCACCTAAGGGTATATGAGATATGGAAGTTAATAAGAAAGGTTAGCTCACTGTTTGGCGACCGAAGGGCAAGTTCAAGTGCCCCCAACTCATTTCCGAAGAAGCGGCACAGGTTATCGGCCTCAACACCTAGCCGAACCTGCTCCTCTCGACACCGATCACGCTTGAGAAGTGCACGAATGCCATCTCTTGTAGATGTGTCGTCTAACCACCACGGAACCTCTCCATGAGACGGTGTAATCCACACATCCTCCATCAGTCCTGGGTCAGAACGTAGTTCTGCAAGTTGGTGGGAAGGGGTGCGGGCAGTGGAATCCCCCAGGATGTATCATACAATGAATCAAGCCGCTCACAGTAGGAGTTAAATTTCCTGATAGCGGTCATTAGTGCGGGGCTGACGCTTGGAAATTGCTTTACGTGTCTGTTGATGCAGCTTGGTGCCTAAAAGAATCTAATAAATCATTCACAAATGAATCGGCATGAACTTACCTAACGCTTGCTGAGCGCCACCCGACTGCTCGATCTAATTTATCCCACTCGAAGAAACTCGCAATCGCACGTTTACGAACGTTCATTTTGAGATCGCGTGCCATGAGAAGGATGCGAACAAATTCGAGATTGATGCCATGAAGCTCAGGAAATCTGTCATGAACATTCAATGAGGAGTAAAGAGCCTCGACCTTGTTCATCAGGCGATTGTGTCCCCTCTCTAGACTTTCGAGAGCCTCTAGTGTATCATCTGAAGCCATATCTTCTCCAACATCGTCCTGGTGGTTTGCAATGCTTTGTCTGAGGCGTCCAGATCTGCCTGGAGAGCTAAGACTGTGTCCAACTCCTTCTTGAGGCGGGCGGGTGCATCTTGTGATATCATTGAGCAATAGCCAACGTCAATTTAAAATGTATAAAACTTACGAGCACGGATAGATAACTGAGATTGCCTTTGCTGCGACCACTCGGCTTGCAATTCTTCAATGGAGACCTCACATTGATCTAGTGCGTCTTGGGCTGCTGAACCTTGCCCCTTGATGCCCCGTCTGAGGCGTCGTTTGATCCAGTCGCCTAGATCAGTTCGCATCTCCGAAGCTATAGCCACTGCTTGCCGATCAATCAACCATAAACGGCGTTGGCGCTAAGCAGTGTTTTAAATTCATTAGTTTTAAATGAAAATAATAGAGTACATACACTAGAAGTGCGCTCAACACCTATCAATCGAACTAAGCGAGACCAGAGGCGTTCGGTCCCTTCACCATCAGATAAGCCAAGACCCACACATATTCGTGGGTTATATACGAGCTGGCAAGCCCACTCGTGCCCATATGCGTGCATGGCAGTGGTTGCAAATCGAAGGCGTGAGGTGATGCTTTTGGGAAGAATTTCATGCTGTAAATGGTGTAAGCAATTGTTTCAGTCCAGGATCATAACGTACCTTGGAGAGTGTTCGTGCCAAAACACAGCCGACATCATAAAGAGCTACGACAGTAGCTTCGGGGGGGAGAAGTGAAAAGAAGTGCTGAAGTAAGGCTACCGAATACTTTTGCTGTTCTCCAGGTGAGTCTATGTTGGCAAAAAATAAAGGGATGTCGTGACGACAGATAAGGGCCATGATTCCAGTGTCGTCGAAGCTATCCATTGCCGCTTTCTGTTTTTTGCCGTCAGCAGCCTCGTAAGCATTCTCGCATTGGTCAACGGCTTCATCAGGGACAAGGGGAACGTGAGACCTCACTGGTCGCTTACGTTGAGTGTCAATATGGCGCCCAATCGTGTCAACAAAGGTTTTCGGGAGAAAATAAGTAGGGTCATAGAACTTTGGACAGTCTCCAGCAGCACGTCGATGACGGTGATGGAAATTACCGTCCATTGCGACATGAATGTCACCTCCCTCATCTGTAGATCTACCATGAAGAATACCTGCAAAGCAAGCAGGACACCGTTGCACTAGAAGGGGTGCGCATTGAGTGGGCAAAGGTGAATTCGAGACTCGAGAGGATGCTTGAAACTCTGCTATACGATCACGGTGTTGTTGAACGACCGTCTCAACTTGGCGCTCAACTTCAACTTGCAGGATGTCGTACCATTGCACGGCATAGCCGAGGCCTCGTCGGAATGGGTCCTGTATAACTTCGCCCTGGGATGAATCAGTAGTGACCTAGTTATGTAAGTGATTGTTACCTGGGCGTCAGTCATCTGGTAACCCCGCCGGGAGTAGTGATTTTTGAGCGCTGATGCGAGAGCGTTAATCGCGTCACATGAGCGCTCAAACAATGCGCGGTAGAATGAGAGCAGGTCAACAGATACAGCCATTCGAGGCTGTGAAGGCGCGGTCGGAAATAGACCATGGTGAACGAGGACTTGCTGGAGAGTGGAGCAGGTACAACTTAGTACATCTATAGATGTGAACCCTATGTAGATGTCAGCAAAATTTTGATTACTGCAAGACATGGGCTCACGGTCGAAGAATAAACACATCATTGTCGTCCGTTTCGGTGTACACGAAGGCTTCCCACATGCAGATATGACTGGATGTATATTTTCCAGTGCTTTGCCCTGCGTTCGTCTGAAGTACTGGAGTACTGGATCAACAAGGGTTGGTATGAGTGCAATCCAGTTTTTGTAGAGTGAATTGGTGGATTTGTCGGGCACAATCCGCCGTTTGACAGGCGATACTGAGATCTCAAGAGATGGCTGTTCATCAGAGTGAAATTCGCTGACAACAAGATTGTCAGTATCCATGTGTTCCGTAGTCACAGTATCAGATGGTGGTGCTTGTGCCAACAACTGTGGGTGTGATTCCTCGTGTTGCGGCTTCAAAAGTCGTTCCATTGCGTCCAAAAGTCGGCGGCGCTTAGTCTCTGCGCCAGGAAGCTCAACATATGTTTGAGTTTTCCGTTTGTCTCGAGCCTTCCTTGGGCTTACAAAGTGAGATCCTAGGCCAGAAGATGCGAGTTGAGCTTTGCGAGTGCGACGTGGCGTCAAGGAAGACATGGTGAGGGAAAGAAGAGAAGAACTTACAGCGTGAATCGGGGAGGAGCAAGGCTCCCAAGCTCAGTGCATAAGAGATTACTGGAGGTGCACGAGAGGTTTTCTGGAGGTGCACGGTTTTCTGGAGGTGCACGAGAGGTTTTCTGGAGGTGCACGAGGGTTTTCTGGAGGTGCACGAGGGGTTTCTGGAGGCGCAGGTACATCCTAGGAGGGTGTGTTATTATTAGAAGGCGGGAGGGTGGGTCTCACAGACTACTTTCCCACAACATAGGAACCGGGTCTCAAAGACCGTTATTGGTTCCGAAAAGTAATGCCTGAGGTGTTCTGCCCCCCAGGAATCAATTCACCCAGTGGGCCAAACCCACAGTAGATCAGAGCTCCAACGACGCAACTACGTTAACCGTCAGTTCGAGCTTGAAGGAGAGAAGCTCTTCCAAGCGTCGGAGACCTACATATAGCACTAACTTGACTCCGATACCTTCCCATCTTCGCCCGCACTGTCCTGCAAAGGATAGACTCTACTTGTGGGAACCAACGACCTCGCGGTCCGCGAAAGATGCACAAGGAAAGTTCGTTCCTCTAACTACTGAAGATATCAATCGGATCCGAGGCGTCTTAGTGCACGCTTACTCAGAAAGCACGCGCGAAACGTACGGTTCAGGTCTACTGGTTTTCCATGTCTTTTGCGACAGCAAAATCATCCCGGAAAATCAGAGGGCACCAGCAAGCAACATACTAATAGAAGCCTTTATTGCATGCATGGTTGGCCATTATTCAGGGAAAACAGTATCTAACTACGTGAACGGAGTTCGAGCATGGCACATTATACACGGCGCGACCTGGTCGCTGAACGATGCGGCGATAGACGCCATGTTGAAGGCGGCAATGTCACTCACGCCTGCTTCCGCAAAGCGCGACAAACGGGAACCATACACCGTCGACCTAATCATTGCCATCCGGGGAAAGCTAAACCTCAACGACCCATTAGACGCATCGGTATTTGCATGTTTAACAACCATATTCTACGCTACCGCTAGAGTCGGGGAATTCACCGTCCCTCGCCTGAACGCTTTCGACCCCAAGCTACACATCACACTCGGTGGTGTCAAGGACTTGCAGGATCGACAGAACCTCGTAACCAAGAATTTCAGCCTACCGCGCACGAAAACTGCGACGGGAGGCGAAGACGTTCATTGGGCCAGACAGGCAGTCTATCCGACCCAGAAGCAGCTTTCCTGAACCATCTGCAAGTCAACAAACCCCCACAGAACTTCGCACTATTCGCGTATCGCCACAAGGACAACACGCACCGGCCACTGACAAAAACCAAGTTTTTGAGCAGGTTAGCTGCTGCAACCAAAGCTGCCGGCCACGCACCAGTGCAAGGCCACAGCATTCGTATCGGTTCAACCTTGGAATATCTCCTGCGGAACATCCCATTCGACGTGGTAAAAATCAAGGGCCGGTGGGCAAGTGACGCATTTCTCGCATACCTGCGGAAACACGCGCAGATCATGGCACCATACATGCAAGCAACTCCCACTCTACATGACCAATTCCTTCGTTATACCATTCCCCCAGTCCGTTAAAAGAACCAGGCCAAGACACTTACGAGTGAGTACGTCGCCCTTCTCCTACAAGTTGGGGATCCGAGTTTCGCTCGATGCGTCGTCGGACTCCTAACACTTGGGAATCGCAGCTCAACCTTTCTCAGTCTAGGTCTCTTTCCTCGGGGCCGGAAAGCGCTGCGCGCTTTCGCCCGAAAACTAATCTCCATCCTGTCACTACTAGTTCAATTCCATCAATTTGTGCCTACAACAAATCCCATACCTGAACTTTGAATCGCGTCGGAGTGAACCTCGAAGACCAGGACCTCGAAGCTTCCGAAGTTCCGAGTCAAGTTTGATTTACGCACGCTTGTTTATTGCGGTTGAGTTTATAATGACGACGTCACCTACTCCGTCACGCTGTCACACCAATGTAGGTTCGTCTCGACTCTCCATTGACTCTCAATGACTCCATCTTCCTCGCAGTCTTTTCCCCCGAGACGCCATAATACATCGTCGCATGCTATCGAAAAGAGCAGGATGACCCCCGCAGGATGCTGCTTCTGCGCTTGTATGTGATAGTTTGCCCATGAAAAGGAATTCACCTTCTCTCCTCGCGAGGGTCGTCTCAAAAACATAAGATATATCCCCGAGGTGTGTATGTGCCAACCTAGACCCTCGATAGACTGCAACTGTTGGGATTCACCATCAAACGAAAAATGTTAATGGGGCCAGAGGCCAGAAGAATGCACAAAAGCTAAGGACAGAGTGAGTCTGACAGTCAGGAAATGATGTAACCTCCTATCCTCGCTGAAGCCGCGTTGACGAACACTCCTTTGGTCGTTGGCTCTTCCAATGCGAGGATGACTTGAAAGCTGAATTGAAAGTGACAGACCGAGCCATATCGTTTTGATGTGTGCGTTTTGCATGTGCTCCTGTTTTATGTCAATGCTGAGGCGGAATCATAATAATAGTGAACAGTGACTACTAAGAGGTAGCATGTGGGTTTGGGAAGACGGGTTCGAGATCAGACATCAGTTACTTTTCTCGGCATTTATTGAGGTATGATGTCATTTCTCCCCCTATCTTCCGAGTACAGGTTTCTCCTGCTTGGTACTAGTAGCTCCTCAGCTTTCCGAATGACAGAACTGATTCTACACCCTCCATCTATGTTGAATTCTGGTCGTCAGTTGTAGTAAGATCGCGGGTCCATCATGATAGGCTGGTGAGCTTCGGAAATAACCTTCTCAGTCAGACTTTCTTTAAATATGACGGTCCAGCATGTTCAACATCTCTTCGGGCTCTGGTGCGGCTGAGTGAACGGGAGGCCCTGAAAGAGAGAATTGAAATATTGCATGTTACAATTTTCATTCAAATACAAGGACCCAAAGGCCGAGCGATGCGACAAGACATGAGTACAGGGCGAAATACGAGTGCCATGATAGATACGAGAGCGATGAGAAATACGAAGTGTTACAAGAATTGAGCTGCAAGAAACATGAAAATAACAGCGCTGAAGGAGGGCCATAACACGACATGCAAAGCACCCTAAACGAGCTTTACAAAGGGCCTAAGATAAGCAGGAGCGGGCGGATGGTGCCTAAAACGCGATTTGGGTGAGGAAAGACACCCCTCGAGATACCGTCTGATAAGTTATCTGCCGATTTTATCCACTCGACAGAAAACCATACACCATGGTCACGAGTGAATGCCGACAGACTGCGTAGAATATCATTCTGCGCAGGGCTACGAGAGCGACCGGCTCTGATGGCACCTACAACTCCCTGATTGTCGGAGCAGAAGCGGATATGGGCATCGCGAAGGCCGGAATGAATAAGAGCGCGAAGACCAAGGTCAACGGCCACCATTTCTGCCCACCCGATGTCGCGTCCATCTGACTTCCACCCTGGGAGCAAGCGCCAACCGAGCCAGCAGCCATCGACTAAGAGCCAATGCCAAAGGAAGTCGAAGCATTCACAAAGACCTGTAAAGGAAGGGGAGGTGGCACGGGATGGAGAACCCGAGCACATTCGGCTGCGCTGAGCTGGGAACGCCACCAGACGACATCCGATAAAACTCTGGATGGAATGCGGTGTTGAGTTGAGGTGAAGATGATGACTTGAATGAAGCTAGAAGGCGATAGAAAGAGGATAAGAAGGCACGACCTTCACGAAGGACAAGACAACAATGTTGGAGACAGCCAATAACAGATTCACAGTCCGCACGGGTGACGAGCCTATCCTCGGACCAAGTCTCCAGGCGTGTAAGGTATTTTGCACATTTAGAGGGAGGAATGACAACCTTCCGAACGCATTGAAACCCCGAGCTGGCCATGGAACAGTATCTCCAGTTACTGTGGATTAATTAATGCTCGGCGGCAACTTGAATACACCTTTTCTCTCTATATACTGGTACCTACTGATATTTACGGCCATATTCTGGCCTTTCTATGGCTACGTTATTTATTGCCCCTCAAAATTCAATCAGCGTTGATCGGACCTATGATCGTCCACTCCTTACTGGGCATCCAGTTTCTTCTGCTTCTCCCGCTCAACACTGGCTTCTCTCCAGTCCCTGCCTTTGTACAATACCAGCAGAATTATGCCCTCAATAACGACCATCAGACATGCCCAGAGAGTATACAGACCACCGTCGCCAATCGTGTCCTACACTAACCTCAGATCTGGACTTCTGCGAGCTGCTATGACCTTGACTCACTTGTAAGGAACCGCAATCTCAGCGGCGACAAAAGCAAACAGACCACGGAAAGAACTATTTGCTGCGACTGCCATTGATGAGCGACCAGTGTTTGCGTCGACAATGTATGCTAGTGTGCTTGTGTAGATCCATCTATCGTAGATGAGAGCAAAATACAATATAAAACGGAATGAACGTACATGGATAGAAATCCTGCGAGAACAGCATCACACACACGGCGGCAATATTGACTCGTTCTTGGCACACCCAGGCGTATCCAATCACAGATGGGGTAACCACAACATGGCGATTTCGTGCTCTCGAGGCGCATCTGCATGAATTTGCATCAGCCACATGCTGAGCTAGAGTTGGTGTTCAATGTTCACCTCTGGAAAGCTGACCCCTCCGTTTGCGGCCTTCAGCCGAGCAAGTGTCCGATCGGACCAACG